AGACAGCCCTCAACTGCTGGGCTTTCCTCCTTTCAAGACCAACACCCAGGGCTAATTGAACAGGGCTGACTGGCCCAGGCCTCTTGGCCCTTAAAGGGGCAGACCGCCCTCTCACATCTCCTCGGTCCCCAGCAGAGCCACTCCAGTTGGAATACCCGGATTTAAACAGAAGAGAGCTGATGGCAGGCCATTCACCATAAAGGCCCTGGATCTGGAATTTGATTCTTCACTGGGTTCGCCAGGGTGTGGACTTGTTAATCTTCTGGACACAACACATCTCTTTCCCAAATGCCCTTCTCTTTGCACAGGCATTTGGGGAAAAGCAGGGCTGAGAGATAAAAGGGCATGATTATTATTATGGCTGTCATCATGATTTAGCGCTAGATCTTCAGGGGTGTCTGAGTTCTACTGGGTGAGAGGGACAAAGGTGGTTTTGTATCACCTTTCCACTCTCATAGTTGTGACACTATTTGGAAAGGTCCATATGGACTACCATACTGTCCGAGGATCCCCAGACCTCAGAGTACCCTGGCCATCCTCATTTCCACTCCAGCAATGCTCCCTACCCCATGGGGGCTAGGTAGGGTGACCAGATTGCAAGAGTGAAATATCAGGACACATTGGGCGAGCGGGGCGGGGGGAGGGGGAGAGGACGACAATGACAGACACATGTGCACAGAGCCATGAGAGGGGACCCTAGGAAGTTGCGAGAGGGGGCCCTAGGAAGCTGTGAGACGGGTTGTACAGCCCCTGCTGCAGCCTGCCCCACAAGCCATAGGGCAAGGACACCTATTGAATTCAATGAGAATTTTGCATGTGAATTGATGTACCTAGTTCTGAGATTATAAAGCCAGAAGGGATCCGGTGATCACCTGGTCTCACCGCCTGTATAGCAAGACATAGAACTTTCCCAAAATAATTCCTAGAGGATAGCTTTTAGAAAAACACCATGACCCTTAGTATATTGTTAATCATTAATTACTCTCACCATTGAAAAGGTATGCCTTATATCCAGTCTGAATTAGCTGATAGCCATACAGTTATCCTCTAAAAATCCACCAGAGGAGGGCACAAAACACAAGTTGGACAGTGAATTACAAAAGTGCCAAATATTATTATTAGACCTGCAATACTTTTCACAATGAACATCAGCAGGGGATAAACTGGGAGTTTAAGAATATTTGGAAAACAATTTTAGAATAACATTCAGTGCTGTGGTTTAAAAGAAAAAAAACTGTTAAAACTCATAACTTAGCAGTATTCAGTGTTTGAAAAAAAAAAACTTTTAGGAGCTGTGGGATACAAGTTAAGAATGTTGAAACAGGAAGATATTATGCTTAGTTACCACTTGGGCAAGGCGGCGTGCTATGTAATACTTGCAAGATTTCACTGTAATGTTTTACAATATATAGCAGTGCAATGCTGATTCCATTGATATTGCTGGGCAATTCATGCTGATTTTATTTCAGCCCACATCTTAATAGTTTTGAATACTGTAGATCACAATTTTCAGCTCAGTTGGTCCGAACATACAGAGCTTTAAAACTGCTATGCTCTAAACTGTATATTAACTACAGTTTTATATACCTGCATGTCAGAGAACTGTGTGCCATTACTACTAGACAAAAGTGGCACAAGGCAATTCAGTGTGAATCACAGAAATGAAGGACTGGAAGGGACATCAACAGATCATCTAGTCAAATCTCTGCCCTGAGGTTGAATTGATTAATAATACCACTAGACCTTCTTTG